GATTCCAATTTGATATGCGACAATGAATGTTTGTTACCTCTCGCGTTACCCATCCATACATCGAAACCTGTCTCTGCTAAAATGTAACCCAAAGATTTATTCGGTCCTTGAAGTATCCAACTGTCGGATGAATCTAATATCCCATGCATTAGAAGTACTACTAAATCATTTCTAGTGGAATTTCTACCTTTAGGGATTCTGTGAAGGGATAGAATGTAACCATCTTCTGTTATAACTTTATGTACTTCCATAGGGTAATGATATTTTTCAGCTAATTCCGTTATATTTAGAAATATGTCTTCGTGTTGCATTTGTGATATACTCTGACCATTTGTATCACTGTCCGCTAATACTTCGAATACATTTTTCAAACTGTTCAATAATCGTACCGTATTCGATATACCACCGACAACTTCGTATGCAAAACCGAACATATTAAATATATCCATTTTATATTGGAATGTTCTAGAAAATACTGGAGTTATTATTAATATGATTACACAGATATTTTTATACCAATCCATTTTAAATTCACAAAAATAAGGAGGAGGAGTTCAATCACACTTTATACACCATCACTTGAAGCCAATCTTGTCCTAGTTATTAAATTAAGTCTAACTATGAACACACTTAAATATTGTATTTTTAAACGTTTTTTTTATCTGTAGTCTTAGTACACAGTGTCTTATGACGAGTCTGAATAAAATTCATATGAAATTCGAACACGCGTCTCCACACGATCGCAAAACATAAATAATTCATACGTTAAAATGAAATTACGATATCACAACACGTAATGTTTAAATACAGTTATTGTTTGAACAAGAAAAATGTAAACAATAATATATACACGTTATATTATTGTACGCGTAATTACGTAAAAATATTGATGATAAAAAGATGTCATTCAATTTGAAATTTGTTTCATTAAATTCGCTTATTTAGAGTTAGTGAATGAGCAATCGTCATTATTAATTGTATTCATAAGTATAATCTATTAAATTTCAAGTATGCCTTTAAAGCCACGCTTAGAAGAATTAATTTGGTCAGCTTATAGTGAGAGAAATCTACACTAAGGGACTGCTTAAGTTACTCTTAATCTATTCTGAATAGTGTGTTGGGTATACCGTGAACTCCGATAATGAAAGGGATGCCATTATGACATACATGTGTCATAGCAGTAAAAATCCTTTAAACAATTATTCTATCATGCAAATATAATACTTATAAAGCGGACATTATGAGGAATTTCAAATATTTTGAACATATTCGTCAAAAAAGTGTCAAAATAGACAATCGAAAATTTACCAATTATACAGTTATGAAAGTAACATTTTGTTTGTAAATCCTGTATATTATATTGATGTGTTTACTGTTACTTGTGTCAGAGGTGAGAAGATTCGCGAGCTGATCGAGACACTGGAACACCGGAAGCTGGAGGCGATACAGTTCACATTCAAGCAGGTCAGCAAGAACTTCACGGAGGTGTTCAAGAAGCTGGTGCCACATGGACGTGGTTCACTCATAATGCGGGTAGCTGCTGATGACGTCAGTGACGCCCTTGCTGAGGTAACAATTTCAAAGGTTTTTTCAAACATCTTAGTAGCTCAAGGTCATCGGAAATCTCTCCCTATATTCCTTTATGTAGAGCTAGCAGAGGGGCAATATTAAATCGCACTGAGCTCTGTAAATGGACTGGCTAAAAGACGTTGTATTTTGTGTCTATTTGAATATCTTTTTAAAACTGTATAATAGTAAAAAGGTGGTACTGGCCACTAAGAATGTTGACCACAACACAAAAGAGGTTGAATATGTTGCGTTATGTCAGCGCGCCAACGCGGACCAGTTCACCGGAGTGGGCATCAAGGTGTCGTTCACCGGCGGCGAGGGAGACATGCGCGAGATGAACCAGCTCTCCGGCGGACAGAAGTCGCTCGTCGCCCTCGCGCTCATCTTCGCCATACAGAAGTGCGACCCCGCACCGTTCTATTTATTTGATGAAATTGATCAGGTAACTTTATATTATATGTACTGATAGGAAATATGAATTTGTGTGTCTGTGTTATAAAATCCAGATTTTTAACGGGACTTCTACTAGAAGTTACCTAATATATTCGAGCGTTACTTAGGCTTTTTTTAATTTTAAAAAAACAGGCCGAATTACCCTTCTATTATTAAAGTAACAATGTTTTAATTTTTCCAAATAATTTCAGGCGTTGGACGCGCAGCATCGTAAAGCGATAGCCAACATGATCCACGAATTGTCTGCGTCTGCGCAGTTCATCACGACGACATTCAGACCGGAGCTGCTCGAGCACGCGCACAAGTTCTACGGCGTCAAGTTCCGGAACAAAGTGTCGCACGTCGAGTGTGTCACACAGGACGAGGCCCGAGACTTTGTTGAAGACAGCGCTACTCATGCATAATACTTATATATCTTAACCCACCATATTTCAATACATTTTGTTATACAATTTACTATTTTTGACAAAACAGACTATAGTAGAGTTCTATTGAAAGTCCGCTGCTGGTCTTCGGGCTTTCTGAAGACGTCACGTGGTTAAAAATTCTCGTCCCCATTCGTCATAAGGATTTTCATGTCCATGTGACATGGGATTGAGGAATCGCATTTTTATAATATCAGGGGACTAGCCTAAGGGCATTCGCTACGAAGCGATTCCACAACGAACTTCAAAAATGTATAGAACTGATAATAACATTCGATAAATCACGTGACTGTCGCGCTTCAGTTCTATACATTTATGAAATTCTCTATGGAATCGCATCTAAGCGAATGCACTTTGTGTAACCCTTCAGTTATTTTATTAGGATTTAAATTAAATTTGAAGCAAATATTTTTTTATATTCTTTTTAGTAATAGAATCGACCATTAGTAGTTTGAATGAAGATTTATGTCAGATTTTTTATTGATTAATTTATAATTAGTTCCAATTTAATAGTTTTTTTCGAATTTTAGTTTGAATATCACCAAAGCGCGATGAATTGCCTGACAAGCGTTACGTTTTACGTAATGTGTCTAACATATCTCTAATTCTAATAACATATATTGACATTCAATTACAAAATTTTTGACATTAATAGACATAATGTTCATAAAAAGAGGTACATCCTTATATCTTATCTACTGAAATACATGAAAAAACATCAAATTGACGAAGTGAAGTGGAGAGAAAAACTGAAAGCTTTATGTCGATGGCGCCACCGTCAAAAGACCGCTGTCATCTGCCAAAGTATGCGTCATTCTCGCAATTTAAAAAATCAATATGTATTCATTATTAAATAATAAAAAACTAATTAAATTAAAAAACTACTCCGAAAATTTGATCATGCTGACATCTGTAGTAAGCAAAAGGCAGTTTTTCTCCCCATTGACACAGATGATTAACATTTTTGTGTCCGATTCTATAGAACAGATTTTTATACAATTAAAGGTCAAGATATGTTTGTTGATAACCAAATCTTTATAGTTCATCTAATTCTGACATTCTTTTTAAACCTATGAAAATGTCTTCTTTTATATTAAAATTTTATTATTTAGAAATGTAACTGAGTAAGGTTGATGTTATTTAAAAAGTTAAATTTTTAATCTTAAGAAAGTGTCTGTTATGATTCGTATTGTAACGTACTTGTTTTTTTATTAAAATTATATTTTGTAAAGGATATTTCTAGTTAATTTATTTAACGATCCCTACTATTTTTTTATTTTGAAGCAAGAAATAAAAAAATACGAGAAGTAAAGAATTATTTATTAATACATGCAACACCAACAGATTTAGAATATCATTCGTATTGTCTATGACCATAGAAACACTATTGCTTTCAAAGTTTACAAGTTACAATCAATTTAAAAAGATAATAAAATATATAAAAAATACAACAAAGTAATATAGAAATACATAACGAACTTGATTTACTATGACATTAAAACTTTTAAAACATTTCTTCATTAACTAAAAATTAAATATGTCATGAAGAAGACATAGAAATTTAATTTAAAAAAATATTCCATTGCACCAAACCATTATATACTAAAATAAAATCGTACATCTCGGTAACCAATTAAACCAAACATATATACTAATTCTGTATATAAAGAAATTATTATATGAATTTTAGCAATTTGATATGTGAGCAAATTTATAACATAGACAATTCAGCATTTACAGATTTTTACAAAAAAAAAAACTGCAGGAACATGACTTTTAGTTTCATATGTTTAGATAAAGATTTTAGATTATCACATACCAAAAATTGAAAGCTAGTCAAAAATTTAATACTACATTATGTACAAAAAACATATCTGCTTTGAAGAATGAAGGTGATGTTTTTGTACACGTGATCGATGGAAATAGAAAGGTAACATGAAAGCGGTCTGTAGACGTATAGAATTAAAATCTACAACTAGAAAGATATAAAAATCTACCTATAGTTAAAATCACGCACTGAATCTCGCAGAATTTGAAGGCACACCTTACAAATAGTTATTTAAAACAAAAGCCTGCTTTTAGCTAGACTTCGAAATATTTTAAAATTAGGACTAAAATTAATTTTTCGAATGGAATTTTTTTTTTAGAATATATCATTTGTAATATTAAAGTTAGTTGTTACTCAGAATGTCTACAGAAATAGTTGTTTTAGGTCTGTTATCTTAAACAATTAATAGGAAAGAACTTTGCGATTATCAAGCTAGTATACAAAATTAAGATTGCCTTTAAGTTTAATAAATTGGAAAAGTGACGCATTATTTTTAGCATAATCATACACAGTTTTCCTTGAGAATTAAAACATATCATACATACCGTTTAATTAAATTCATCACAATTCACGTCTTGGTCCCAAAATAAAGTACAAGTCAAACAATAAAAGTATCGATCAAATATTGCGATCACGATGAGATAACAAAATATTTTTCGATATAGATAATTCTGTGCAAAATAAGTATAAAAACTATTCAAGTATCATAATTTTCCACACACACACACACACATTAAAATCAATTAAGTACAAGACATTTACATACAAGTATTGGCAGGTTTTTCAAGATGACATTTGGTTTGATGAATGCCCCGCTATAATTTCAAGAGAGGCACAGCGTAGGGCGAGGTCCAATCCCTCTCGAAGACTTCCTGCAGCTGCATCCTGATATCCTTGGTGGCGTTGTGAGGGCCCTCCTCCAGGTCCTGGAAGACAAAGGAGACGCCCGCGGTGGTGGTGAAGTAGTCCCCGGACCAGTTGGAGGTGCCGATGAGCGCGGTTCGGTCCGTCACCATGTACTTGTTGTGGTTAACGCGCGCGAACGGTATCTTATCCTGGTCAGGTGTAGATGGTACTACGAAGCGTTTCTGAAATACGTTGTAAAAGTTGATTAAAAAATTACTAAAGCTGCAAAAAAAAGGTAAATTTTGACTGAAGTGTAAAGGAATAGAGTATAAGATTCGACTGTCGAGGAAGTAGTGAGAACTCACCACTTGTATATCTACTCCGGGCAAGGCCTGCGCGAGTGCGGTGAGAGAGCGCAGGTAGTGGTCCTGCGCGGGCAGCGAGTGCGACCACCAGCTGATGAGCAGGCGCACGCGCACGCGTCGCTCCAGCGCCGCCGCGCGTATCGCGTCGTCGATCTTAGGCCAGTACCTAAGAAATAAATTATTTCATTTACAATCCTGCTGTCTTGACCTCTTTGCATTTGAGCAGAACTTTGCATCTGGAAAACCTTAAATTATTTTCACCAACTACGCCAGAAATTTCCGTTTTCATAAAAAATCGTAGTAGCATGGAAAGTGTTAACAGGGTTTTTTTATAATATTTTAGACATTTGCCTGTTATATAGTGATTGTTTTAAAAATAGTTGATAATGTAGTGAAAATTGTTATTCTAATAATGAAAGGAATAACTAAAGATGACAAGACTAATGTTTTAGTAGGTCATATTTAAGAATTTAGAAAATGTTAGGTTATATTAGTGAAATGGACTCGTGGTAAGTAAAGGGGGTCATATAGTTCGTCGCTGTGGTGTCATATAGTTCAAATTTACGAGTGCAATTCCGCGTGAGTTTTACAACACTCGCCACCCATAAAGCTCACGTAGCAGTCACGGCGCAACGACCAATCACTGACCGAGGAAATGCATCAAACTTTAACACAAACGAATATAAAATTTAATGTCGCGCATAAACGTAAGTTTTTTAGTCGAACGCAAACAAGACAAAAACTACACCACGGAAGACAACATCCTATAATACTTTTCAATCAAAAATTTCTTTATGATCCAAATAATAAAAAAATGACTTCCTAGTGATGACTGGTGATGAAATAGATCACGATATGATTTATTAGTTACTAAACAAAAAAATAATGTGTTAGCTGTAATTCTGGGTCCATTTTCTTTCGCGTAATGCCTAACCGATAAATATTCATATAGGTATTTATTTTTAAACTTACTCGAACTTGTGCGTGTAGACGAGTGCAGGCGCGTAGTCCATGACCGCGATGTATATGAACCGCTCTGCTGATTCTATGATGGAGACGATGGCGTCGTCGTCCGCGCTGCGCCCCGCCGGGCTGAACGGCGGCGGTGAGCTCTGCAACAACAAACTGATTATTCAAGTGACTAATCCATTGAAAACCTACTTTTTAAACACATCCAAAAGATTTGATATCTCACTATCTTACTAATATTATGCAGCAAAGGTTTAGGATGAATGAAAATTTGGTAGAAGGTATCTTCAGTACAGCTCATCGGATCTATATGAAATTTGGTGTAGATGTAGAACATAGTCTAGTTTACTTATTAAACAGGATAAGCTTTATTTTCTGATTCTTACTACAAAAACAGTAGATATTAATTTCATTACAAAACAGCCACTTATTTTCAAGGATTTGTTAAAAATGTAGGAAATGTGACATCGATTGAGCTGCAAAGTGACAATGGGCAGTCATACGTCACGCGACATGATACATCGAAGTCGGACACTTTACGAGGTAAATTGGAAAATAATAGCCAAGATCGAACGATAAACAAACATATAGAGACGGCACGCATTAATAAAATATAGGGAAAAACAAATAAATAAACACAAGTTTTTACCAATTCATTTTTCAGAATTCAGTTATTTCTCGAGACATTTGCCCTTATCTATCTTTACGAAGTCGTAAAAGTGAGCTTTAAATTTACTTTCATTGCTAAATTGCAAATAATTAAACTATGCAACTATCAATATGTACAATTCCGTGCAAAATATTCGATGTAGACCAAGCATCTTTTCAAACAATTTTGGATCGGTCTCATAGAAAATGGACGAAAATTAGGGGCACTTTTTACTTCCCATGTTTTGATGTGCGCTATAAAGCCTATCTTCTTTTCAGATAGCTTTGTAAGTAAACTCAACAATAAAGCTTCTACGTTAAAATATTGCGCCGCGCGGGTTTTCCTTTGTAGTCTATGTAAAGTTTGTTGCTGATAGACGACTAGTCATTATAACTTAGCGTAGCATCTACGGTCTACGGCGTAGCGCCCGTAGCTACAAAGGTCACGGCATTACAAATACCGTCGTAATTTATTTTCTACTAGTTGTCGCCTGAGACTCCGTCCGCGCGGAATCAAAAAAAAACTTAATTAGTAGCTTATATGTTCTTCTAGACTATGTTCTATATCTAAGCCAAATTTCAGCGATATCCATGCAGTCGTTCTGGAGATACATCCATCCATCCATCCAAGAATTTTTTCTTCCATAAACAAATAATGCAATCAAATACATTATTACTGAGGGGGCGGGATATATAATCTCCTTATTCATCGAATGTGTATTTTATGTGATCTTAAATATGTGCATCTTATTCTCAAAAACTATTCTACTAGCATGAAAATTCTAACACCAAACACTTTGGACAAATTCGTAGAAGAGTTGGATGATTTTTCGAACAACTTGAATTCCGATCGTGTATTTCAAAAAGCCAAATGTAATTAAAGGCATCGTGGCTGCCGTCGAAGTTAATTCGCGCTAATATTCGAGGAAATTCATGGAAATCTTACACCCCGATAACTATTATGAGATTTTCTCACGAAGCAAACATTTTGGTGGAATGAATGAAATAAAAGAAAACGCGACGGAACGAAAACTTTTTTAATATTGATTTGTTTTTACAAATATTCGTTTGGATTTTGTTTAGCTATTTTGTTATTAACCTATATTGCTGAAAAAAAAACGCTACGCTAAAAGTAATGCCAAAATGTTCTAGTAAAAACATATGTTTCAAGTAATTTGGCTTACTTCAAACTTATTACACAAGCAAGTGCCCGTGACTTCGTCCGCGCATAATTAGAAAAATACCTAGCAATAAATACGGTCTATGTCACAAGAGGATAGTGGTGCTTACCAACTGTGAAAGATTTTATCAAATCAGTTCAGTACTTTTAGAGCCTATTCAATCCATCAAACAAACTAATCATTCTTCATTTTAATAGTAGGTATAGTCTATATGTAAAGCTTAGACCAAATATTAATTTCACTTCATATTTTCTGTTCCCTTGAGGGATATTAAATTTTATTATGTTTACGAAAGCCTTTTACAATATTATAAAAATTATATCACGCTACATTTCACAATATATCAAATTCATACTTTTGCAAGTATATTAAAATTATCAGTCTAATTAAGCCGTAGAATGAATCAAGAACATGGAACACTTTATTAAACAACAATTTCGTAATTACATCAAATTACTAACAGAGTTCAATTACATTAAACCGTGCGCACGGTTTTGTTGCGTGAACAAAAATGTCAAGGTCGTTTTTTGAAGATTAGCATGAGAAATTATAATTGTACTCAATTTAATATGTATTAAGATCTTAGAAATTTGGACAGGAGAGAAATGCTTTTAATTTCAATATTTTATCTTACTAATGTTACAAATGCAAATGTTTGGATGAATGGATGTTTGAAGGTATCTCCAGAAGAACATAGTCTGGAAGAATAATTATATTTTTTTTAAATCCGCGCAGACGGAGTCGCGGGCGACCGGTAGGACGGCTGTAAAATCGCTGGACCTATTTTGAACAGTGAGGAGTATAGAATTGTATTCTTCTATCGAGTTAACACTAGGGGTACATTTAATCGGGCAGGTTGTTTTCTTTTAATTAAACTAAGCCTACGTTTAATGTTCAATTTCAACGTGCTATAATGTTTCAGCAAAAATGTTGATACACTAAGTTTATTGTGGTTAGGCTCTGAATATTTAGTTTATATTGAAATTGACGTATTGCGTGGTCCTGACACATCTCTATTGCATCTTCTAAATTTATACATCTACACAAACATACAAGTCGGTTTCGGATGCTCATTTCTACCTTATAATATATCTTTTATAAATGTGTAGTTTTGAGACATACGGCAAGTGACAGACTTGATCAAAATTGTTCAAAGTGGCAATATTGCGTTTGATGTGTCATAAAACTTACGAGCGATCGCTTTCTGATACATTCGGTTATTGGAAATGACAACCGGAGCTCGGCATATGTCAGAGAAATGATACCCGGGCGCTTATAATCAAATCAAAATTCAGAACAATATTTTATGGCGAACTTGTCATTTCATCAAAGATATAATAGACATTAAATTTTATTTCTTTAGTATTGATCTCGAAAAATAAAATATAGTTTTATGGTAGTGTGTAAATTATATAGCATTTTAATTCCGAGATCCTCGCGGAATTTAAAAAAAAACTTAATAAGTCGTCTATGTATTCTTCCCGATTATGTCCTACATCTATGCCAAATTTCAGAGATATCCGTTGAGCCGTTCGGGAGATACTTTCAAACAAACGTTCGCATTTATAATATACTAGTAAGAAGTAATTAAAGTTGTGTTATGACGTCTTATTAAAAATATTTTTAGAATTAAAATCAACTCTATAACTAGGTCAAAGTAAGTTAAATCTAAAATTGATTATAAGTTATTTCGTCAAAGCACTTGGTTCTGCCAAGTTGACGTCAAGTATCGTAACTCCCCAACAAGTTCTAACTCCTGGCTCACAGTATTAAGTATTTGCGGTTACCACCCGAGGGAGGCATCGACATGACATCGAGCTTTAAGGCTTATTATACATTAAGTATATTAACTTTGGTAAGCAATAGCTGTCGCCCGCGAATTCGTCCGCGCGGAATTAAAAAAAAAAACTTAATAGCCTTTGTGTTCTTCAAGACTATGTTCTATATCTATGCCAAATTTCATCAAGATCCGTTCAGCCGTTCTAGAGATACCTTCAAACATCCATCCATCTAAACATTCACATTTATAATATTAATAAGATAGAAGGCATTAAGGCCGCAGATACGACATTTTCGACGAGCAGGTCGGCGCGCGACGGCGATGTAATCTAGTACCATACAACGCCTTGCATGTCACGAGCGGCAGCGGAGATCTACTGGTATTTACACCGCCACGCTCGCCGCTAATTACAGTCCCACGGCATTTAAGGGGAACTTAAGTCTTCCTTATTAATCATTAAACGTTCTATAGATTTAATTCGATTCGAAAATCTAATAGAATTGTTTTAGTTTTATTGCCAAGCTAATATTTATTCTGCATAGATAAATAACGTAGTAATCTCTTTAATCTTTAGCGTATACAGGTTAAATCTGAAACTATATGTTACACGGTGCTTTTAATTCAATGGCTTATGTTTAACAAAGCGACGTTGAAGAATGTCAACTAGATATCACGGACGCGGCAATTTTTCTATGCTATATTTTCGATTAACTTAAATAGGTGTATGTTACGAGGTAATATTTTACTGGAATTAACTATTACGCATAACCTACTTAGGCTTTTATTTCACATTTAGTGAATACGGCTTTAATATTTTTTCCATAAAAATATTTAATTACTAATACTTTATAAGAGCGTCGGTGGCTCAGTGGTCAAGCACTTGACTTGCAATGTGCAGGTTCTGGGTTCGAATCCCACCATGTACCAATGTGTTTTTCATTTTCCGATTTATATATGTACATTTACCATACGTTCTTACGGTTAAGGAAAACATCGTGATGCAACCTGCACATATCTGAGAAGAAATTCAAAGATATGTGTGAAGGCATTCAACCCGTACTTGGCCAGCGTGGTTGATTATGGCCTAATCACCCTTAACTTAGGGTAGGCTCCGAGCCCCTCGGTGAGGACGTATAGTGAGCTGATGATGAGTACTTTACAATTTCTATATAAAGATAAATCAAGTTGGAAGTTTAATAGAATGTTAAGAAAATAGTTGTATAACTTGAGCATCCGTTTGGGAATAACTTAGCTAACTTGAAACGGTATCGCCGCAACTTGGTAAAGTTCGGGGTTTAACCAGTTAAACACAAATATATGTTCTTTAGAACTAAATTTAGCGCAAATGCATAACATAGTTCATCTTGGGAGGTTGCGAGTTCTATATATTAGTGACATATAGGAGAAAAACGAAAGAATTTCACTGAAGTTTTCTGAGAATTCTATTGTAAAAAAATACGTAGGCACTGGAACACATTTTGTTTTTTTTTCAAAAAGAATGAATAACTATGTCTTGTCGAGTTTAATTAGACGTTTCGAAATAAACTAAATTTCGTTTTTGTTGTTTTGACACGTGGAAATATCCTTTATGTGAGTTTTATGTTTTAGTAACATAAAAGTGTTGGCGTTATAAAGTGCTGTCAGTCATAATAGGTGACGTCGCAAATCGCCGGAACTACGCCATTTCCGGTTTGGCAAACCTCAACCCTAGCTACAAACTTTTATTTCTTTTATCCCTATTCTCAGAATAACAGCAATAAACTTTGGCATTTACGACCAATATTTGGCAAGTTAGCTTTGTAATCTTATGTTTTACCTGATTAAGAGTATCAAAAATATAAAAAAAAACAGTTGTTATTTAAAGAAAACCCACATATTATAATACGATCCTTAGCTCAAAAACAATTAAATTTACACTAAACTAAACTAGTAATTTAAAACAGACAAAAGTAAACGAGGAAACATACTCCACAACCTGGCAATCCATCCGAACAACAGCCTTCATTTTTGTTTTTATTTAAAAAAAACATTGGTAGTTTCGACAAAGTTAAAATTAACTAGAACAAAAGAGGTTAAATACCTCTTTAAAAAGAATTACGTGCATATTTATACAGCTGTATTATTCTAATTAATTTGGGATTTCACTTCGTATAATTACACACTAAATGACAGCGATAATGGTAAACACAGCGCAAAATAGAAAGCGCTTATCGCTGTACGGGAGGTGGTGTATGTAATTTTCACAACAGCGGTCGTTAGTGAGTCAGCGCTTGAAGCTTTTACCACCGGAGCGTCCGTTGTCATTAAACGGAATGGCAGCCGGCACTTTCGCTAAATTGCATTATTTTTATACGTTTAGTAGTGCTTTAACGGTAAAGTCGTGAGTGAACATAAAATACAGAAACTCTTAAACACCTGGGATGAGAGCCGTATCTAGTACCTAGTGAAATAAAAAAGCTCGTAAATAGAGGTGTAAATTATACGTAATATTTTTAACAAAGCTCATGTATTCATTACTCAAAGTATTACTTAGGGTAGTCTCCGAGCCCCTCAGTGGGGACATATAGTGTGATGATTACTCCAAAAACTTTAGTAAGACGCTGTTAACACGTCTTTTAACACTTGGACCGCTGATTGATATTATGAAAGTCAACGTGGTTTTAACTCTATGATACAAAATAAAATATTAAAAAAAACGAATAATTCACTAAAATATGTTATTAAAAGAAGTCCCTTTAGGCAAGGTCCCGAAGATACTGGCAGCGTTCCCCCTCTGGATGAGCGTTCCTACGTGGTTTTATGTGCCATCATAAATATATATCACCACACTGATTTTCGGTATAAATACTTTATTTAGTGCTCAAGATTGCATTTCTTATTGTAATGTTTCAACAACCATGATTTGTTTAAAATCCGCGCTGATTGATGTTTGAGTTCCGGTTGATGTTTGAGCTAATATTTGAAATAATTACTTGAAATTATATTCTTAATAAGATCTTAAACTCAAAATTTATATGTAGCTTTAGTTTAGAATGGGGCATTGGGGACACAGAGTGTGCACGTAATGGACGTATTCAGTGCATCTCTGAGGCTTGCGTCTAACGTTACACTAATGGCTCTAAGGAAACTGTAGCGAGTCTTGTTGTCTTTAGAGAGATAGGAAATTTAATACAATGATATTTTTAGTAACAAAATGTGCAATGTTGAAGCTTTGTTCCCATTATAAACGATTAATAAACAATACTATAAAAACAATTTATAAAATCAATCTAATTTATTTTAAAAATATACAGAAGATGTTGTCCGAGCAGACTTTGACTGAAGAATTCGTCTAGACTTCTAAAGATGATTGTTAAGGTTGGTCACACACGACCTTCGTTACTAAAAACTTTGGCCACATTAAGTTATTAAAGCACTAGCTATTGCCCACGACTTCTTCTACGCGAAATTGAAAAAAAAAACTAGTAATAAATATAGCCTATTAGCACTACAGGATAGTGTAGCTTCCGAACAGTGAAAGTTTCAAATAAATTCATTTAATTGGGAGCCTATTCAATGCAAACAAACAATCCAATCTTTCATCTTATTAATATTATATTAGAAAAGATGCCGCGATAGTATTTAATTTACCTTAAAGTTTTAGAGTACTTACCGTGATGTAAGCGCCGTAACTGCGTTGTCCATCGCTGATGTTGGCGGGGCGCTGCATGTTGATATCTGTGGCCAACGCGAATGGCCACGTGGCCGGCACAGAGTCGGCCACCCCCAGCTGCCAGTAAACCTGGCGAAAACATACAAAGAACACGCGTCGGGTAAAAATATACAAATATCTTGATACATGGCGGGATTCGACCCTGTTACCTGTAGATTACAAGTCTAGTGCTTAACCACTACGCCACCGAAGACGTAAACGTATGAAATAACTTTAAGATTGTTTACGTAGGTTATCTTATCTATATATCTTAATATAATATCAATTGCTGTTCTTTAGTCTCGCTAAAACTCGAGAACCGTTGAACGGATTTATCTTATCTTGGTCATGAAATGTTCGTGAAGTTCTAAATAAGTTTTAAAAGGTGTGAAATATTCGAATAATTACCGGGAAAACCCTAAAAAGAGCCCTTTTGTTTTTCCCATATAAACGGCTAAATGGATCTCAATGAAACTTGGAATAGATGTAGAACATAGTCTGGGAGAACACATATGCTAATAATTATGTTTTTTTTTTCATTCAAAGCGGACGGAGTCGCGGGCGACAGCTAGTAAGTAATAAAATTTTAATGTATTACTGTCTCTTTTAAACAACCATTAAATACCCATTTATATTAGAGGGTTGTTAAACTTTTATAGACTAGAAGAGTTCAATTACTTTGGTTGAAAGCGCAATTATTTTGACTCAAAGCGTTTCCTAACGTAGCGTTTACTTTGTGAACTGACTTGTTGACTTGCCAACTATTTCAATTAACGCTTTACTCCTAACTTTATAAAAACAACTTTAGTAAAAAAATAGAGAATAAAAAAACAAAGTATACTTATTACTTGTTTATTAAAACTTAGCTTAATTCTAATGTTAGCAAGAAAATTACCTGAATAATTTTGAATAAACTAGCCAGATGGCTTTCTCACTGTCTCAAAGATACATATCACGCAAATAAAACTAAGGCCAATAATCTGTTAAAAGACTTGAAACAAACATCGAAAGATTACATAATGAGAAAGTAACAAAAGTGTCTACCAATGCTTTTGAAATGGATGTATTATTTATTGCGGTTTGGCAAAATGCCAAGATTGAGCAATGTGCCAAAATTAGCTGCTTCATCTATTCATAGTCTGTGTACAAAAGCACCGACACAAATCATAAATGGACGCCGGATGGATTAGAATTTTGACATAGCTTTTGAAACAATACAAAAAGTATGCTGATTTGTTGATTCGTTATTAGGCTTTTGTTTTTTATATCCATTTTTCCAAAAACTTAAATTATACTTATAATATAAATGAGAATGTTAAGATTAATGGATGGATAGATGTATGAATGGATGGATGTTTGTTTAAAGGTATCTCTGTAACGGCTCAACGAATCTTGATAAAATTTCACACAGATGTAGAACATAGTCTGGAAAAACACAGGCTACTCATAAATTTTTTTTTTTAATTCCTCGCTTACGAAGTCGCGTGCGAAACCTAGTCCAATAATAAAAGCGTGTATATACTTCATAAGGAACAAAAAATATAATTGTCATTAACACTTTATGTTTTCTAAGCATGAGTTTCTGAGACCAAAAACTTTTTTTTCAAAGATAATGCACAACACGGATGACGATACGTTTAGAGATTTTGATGTCTCAAACCAACGGTAAGTCTTACGTTCTATGTAACAAAACAAACAAACCGTAAAACATAATGCGGGAATGGAATGACGTCATAATGAAATGTCACATTTTATTTCTATTATAACAAATGACGACCTAAAAATAAGCAATGCATATATTTGACCTTGTAACTTTATTAGTTATGCGGTGAAATGAATAATGGTACTTAAGGTGATTCGTCATTGGAATTAATTATTCGTAAAATATATAGAAAACATTTTTATAACAAAAGACTTTGTACCTAATATATAAGTGTCACACGAACTAGCCAAGGGCGATATTTATCAGGTAAATCTCTATTACCTATAATAGTATAAAGTAATAAAATCAGTATGGCTTTGTTTATTCGACAAATCAGATGACTTTGCAAGTACATAAACTATTTTGAAGCTTATTAATAAATGTGATAAAATATATAAAAGAAGAAAAAATTATAGGTTAAGTAGCGGATATAAATGCTAAGACGGAAATCAATTTTTTCGCAATGCAAAGGTCAGGGCTGTGAAAAAGATCTTCAGTACGGCTTTTTTCACTCGTACAAAGTGGGGATGGAAGGTCGGGGCTACAAAGTATGCATGAATATTTACCCTTAAAGTAATGATTTCTTTGTCGCCGAGACACAAGGGGCCTACATTGTATTCATGAGACCTTGGTAAGACTCCCGAACGCATTACCTGCGAGATACAAGTTAAACAAATGGAGACACGAGATTTAATATAATTCTTTATTAAGTGCTTTTTTCATACATATTACTAGGTTTAAATATGTTTACATTTTTGTAACCATTTCAAATACGCTCTAGGTTTATGCTAAAATATGTTCCACGTGAGTCACATAGCGAGATTCAATGTAGGGCCGCGTTATTGAATGACCGTACTCTTACCATTTTTCTCTCTAACCGGATTTCTAAGACCAAAATCTCCGTTCAATACATATTGCTATCTCTGTTTTGTCAAAGATAATGACAGGGATGACGATGATATGGTTTATACAGATATTTTGATATAAAATCAACGGTTAATTAGGCTATTAACACTTCATAGTAATTATAAAATAGTATGTGATGAACATAATTATAACTTCAAAACGTTCATAGAAAACATGTTGTCGTCTCTTTCTTTTCCTCTAAAAAGAAATGAGATCAACACATGTTTTATGTTTAGGCAACGCAAACTAATTTTAGTACCATTTAAATTGGTATTAATGAGACGTTTATTATTAGTATTCCATCATTCAAAACGATATTGCAAAATTAAAAATAAAAACGTAGCGCTTTTCGCAATTCGGTTGGTGGTGTGGGGATAGGGTGGGGATTAATTGCGTCTCTCTGTATGAACAAAGTCAAGGTTTAATTTTTAATACAGTACGGAAAAAGAAACTTATAAGGTCTTTAACACACTGCTGAGAAAGCAAATCGCAACCGAAGCGAAATTTAACAGCACGGCTAACTTGCGCTCAACCGAACGGGGAGCAAAATCTGTTATACGTTTTCGCTTTTGCTGCTGTGTGTTACGGACTTAAAGGCATAATGCGACAATTATTGTACTGTTAACACGACAAGCATGGCTTTATATAAACGGCTTTGTCTTATGAAATTATTTCTTGAATTTATTTAAATGAATGAACTAACTATAACTTATTTATGTGATTGTGTTAAGTTTGTTTAACAAGTTCTTGTTTAATGAAATGAAAATGGATGAAACTATTCAAAGAGTAAGCATTATTGAATAGGTTTATTAATTAATAGAGCATCGGTGGCTCAGGGGTCAAGCACTTGACTTGCAATCTGCAGGTCCTGGGTTCGAATCCCGCCATGTATCATTGTGTTTTTCGAGTTACATATGTACATTTATCCGACGTTCTTACGGTGAAGGAAAACACCGTGTTGCAACCTGCACATATCTGAGAAGAAATTCAAAGATATGTGTGAAGTCATCCAACCCGCACTTGGCTAGCGTGGTTGACTATGGCCTTATCACCCCTAACTTTGGGTGGGCTGCGAGCCCTTCGGTGGGGACATATAGTGAGCTGATGATGATTTAAAAAGAAGATTTCCAATTCGTCTGTAAGTTTTTTTTTAAATTTACTTTATAACAGTCCTTTTTCTGTTGTAAAGTAAAATATGAAGTTTTACGACAGTTTTTATCACAATACATGACCGACTTTTGTAACCTATTTTAAAATTAACATCACAAAATATTACTAGTAATTATGGTTCCTAAACACGTATGAACATTAGGCTTATTATTAATTAGGGTTAAGAGTACTTATACATACGGGTATGTGTATTCTTAAGTCGAATTTTTTTAAATAAAAACTTTAAAGTCAACACATAAAGTGTAATTTTGTATAATCAGCATTTAACCTATTATTTCAATAATGAAAATCTCTCTGAGCTTTAGTCGAGAACGGTTTAAAACTATTTCCGTTGTAATTATAACATTAAGTGGTAAGCATTAAGGTCTATTTTAAATTGAAGTAGCTGTTTATACGAGTTTATGACGTAGACGTTTTTTCGTTGTAGTGCCCGAGTCCTTGTAAAGAGGGCGCCTGTGTCGTAAGTTATTAAATTAAATTAAAATACAAAGTTAAAGAATAAAAGTCTAAAATATTCCCGTACCTAACGTCTTTTTTCAAATTTGTTAACCAGTAGTAGATGTATGAAGATGCGAGAAAGATGTGTCACGATCGCGCTAAATTGAAGTCCATGGTCTCTGTCTACCCCTCTGGGTTACAAGCGTAAGTTATGTTGTTTGTAACCGAATAAAGACTTACATCAAATATTTTCCCCAAATCATTGGCCATACACGAACAGTTATACGCCACGATGCCCAGCTCTTTCACCTGTTAAAACAAATAAAATAATTATTGCAAAAAAGTCACAATATTAAAAAAAAAATTGTAAGAAATTATTACAAAATATTACACAAGTAACGTTGTCGCTGTCTACCCTGTCAAGATTATTAATACGCTTTTATTTTTTTTTAAGGAACGCAAAAAAAGTAAACTTAAAAAAAATAAGTACAGACATTTTTCAGGTACCGTCCACAGCCGAGACCTTGCAAGCATTCAAGCTAAATTGGACTTAAGCTACGTTGGTTTTAGAGTTAAATTCTATTATTCCTAGACCGTACAGGTATGTTTCATTAAATTTTTTTCAATACACAACAAGGACCTACTCAACATTTACGATGTAAATTGTAGGAACAGCTGTGTCCTTTTGAGAATACGACGACGAGAAATTACAAATTTACTTTAAGATTACGTTATATCTTAGTCTTAACGGATTAAAAGAAAACCGGGCATTTAAAAGTTGAGATTTTAATACTGTTAAAACATAGAAGGAAATATTTTATACTACAATGAAAAAAGTGATCATATAAGGGTTTCGTTTTTTTCCTATGAGGTACGGAACCCTAAAAACCTTACTAATATTATGAATGCTAATGTTTCAATAGATGGATGGATGTTTGTTCGAAGGTCTCTCTTTAACGGCTGAACGGATCTCTATTAAATGTGGCATACATATAGAAAATGGTCTGGAAGAACACATAGAAGCCGCGGACGACGGCTAGTATCACATATAAAGAATTTACAAAAATAATAACTTGTTTACATTATGTCAGTACAGGATAGTATTGCTGGCCTGGCATGGATTGTTTGGGTTCACTGGCGGTAGTTAGTGTTTACTTAATTCCAATGCTGATTTTGAACACTTCTGTCCTACTATACTGGCATAATGGAATTATTAAGAATTGGAAATAAATAATTTTGAAGAATAGATACTGTTTGGTTGTATTTAAGATCAGCATACAAATATTTTTTATTTTTTTTTATCTTATATTACTTTCTTAACCTAAAAAAACGTTTTTTGTACAGAAACACAAGAAGTATACAGAGGTTAAAGAGAACAATTTTATTAAAGACTTTCACATATTTTTTTTAATAATAAAGTTACATACCTGAGTTAATGCTCGCCAGTCCATATTAGCACTGCCGATGTAGAAATGCGTTCTGTCCACAATCCAAAACTTGGTGTGAAGAACTCCGCCGCCCAACAACTTGGAGAAGTTTAAACTTCTTACCTATTATTTATAATTAAAAATAAGAAAAAAATCATATGTTACATCAAAATATAATAAGATGGTAATTATTTGACTTCAAAAAAATTACCAAGTAATGGCAGCCTAAAACGAATAAGTCAACGATCGCATAAAAAAAATAAAAAAACATAGGTATACGATTTACCTGCGCCGCTTTCTTCTTAACTAAATATTCTGTATCTATATTAGGATAGTCTTTACTGGGCCAGTTTTGAGCAATTTTTAAATCAATCTTCCTTTTTGATCCGGCGGCGTATAATGCTTGGAACACTTGCTCGCCCTACAAATATATACAGAATCGAAAACGATATGCCTTATTGAAAATAATAGCAAAGTTGTGTAAAAAAAAATTTCTACAAATATACAAGGCGCAAATACCGAACATATTAATTGCTATAAGAAACAACATAATAAAAATGTAACATCAACACATTACGATCCAATAAAATTTATGGTCAGAACTTTAATACACGTGTAATATCTTACGCGCCATTAAAAATGCCCTTGCCAGTCGACATATTTGATGACATAAAAACTTTATTGCTGTGTAAGTAACTTTTCTGTCAGAGAACTGCAGATTTGATATTTTTAATGTGTCACCATCTCTGTTATTATGTAGAGCAGATTGAACAATTATTATAATATTATGACCATTTAAACACAAAGAGTACTATTGTGATTAAGTACAGATATTAGGTTAAAAATATTATTTGTTCAGTGCCAGATACAAAAAAAAACACGTTTCTGACAGATTGTAAAACAGATGCCAAAAGGCCAACAACAATTAAATTCAAAATATTATATAGTAAAAATAAAAAAATATCTAATACAAACACAAAAATTATTCATTCCTCATACAAAAGAAATCAAAATACAGTGAAATTGTTCGATGGAATGAATTTATTATTTTATTTTATAAGATTAAAGTATATAAAGTAAATAAAAACACTTACCTCTATAGAAGAATTGTACGGATAAAATTCATTAAACCTAAGAGACCAATAAAAAGAGGCTATTTCTATTGTTGTTTGAGCTTCATCTATTAAATCTAACCAAACATTTTTTGTAGGTGTATGTGTCATATTAGGAGGATACATATGCCCTTCTGGTATACTCTCCACAAGGGATAATCTGAAAATAAATAATTTATTAAAAAAAACTAATAAACAATACTAGCTGACACCCACGACTCCGTCCATGTAAGTGAAAAGATACAACTTATTTAATATATTCAAGTTTTATGCAGAATATCAAATTGTTTTTATATTTAAATATTAATTTTAAATTGGTTGACTTTAAAATTAGTTATCAAAATAAAATTAATTGATTAACAATTTATTTTATGTTATAATCACTATTTAATAATTTATAGTCATCAATTTATTGGGTAGAATATCTTACCTACACTCATCTGAGCAATGTACCGTGACAGGTTGCTGACTTGAAGCTGCATGTGGCACATTGGGCTGGTCCAATAATGGCACAAGTACAACAAGAACTATCAGCAAAATGACTATAGAAACAGGGATACATGATGGCCGACACCATATACTGCGTTTCTTCCTTCTGCAATAAACAGATCAAATAAATAATTTAAATAATCAGTTTTCAGTGGGATAATCAAATTCCTTCTACTTGATAATATTAATATGAATACAATTACATTACAACTTAACTAAGTTAAAACTTAATAGAAGTATTGAATAGTTTTCTTACAGGAAAAGATATTCAAGGAACTTACTTGTCATTATAGCTGTTTCCATTTTCATCCCTCATCATGAAAATTTGCTCCCACTGCTCGAGCTCCTCATCAGAGGATGACGCGTTCCCCACACTCCCCGATTCTAATACAGTCTAAAATAAAATGAATATTAAATGTTGTGCAAGCAAAATGTTTACAAACAAATTATTGCAACGAGCAAAAACAAACTTTTATTCGAAACTTAAAAATTTTAAATATCGCTTCCAAATATCCCATTTTACATACAATAACTTAAACAAAACAAAGGAACTAATGACAGAGCATTACTTAATAAAAAGTTACGTTGTTTTGTTTTTGTATTATTCTTGACGTTTGAACTTTTGATTTGACGTTTAATTCACATCGCACTGACATTTGACGTCGATACAGCCGGAAATGAAATTGGACATTACAAATTTTCATTTCTATGCAGAAAATATAATTAAAGATTCTTATTATACCAAATATATGTTAAAACGTAAATGTATATTAGCTATTTAAAGATCAATATAAAATATTAAAAACTAACCATTTATGTAGAAATTGCAGTAACGTTGGTGCAAAGTAAGCCAAATCAATACTCAATGAGCATGCATCACTGTAAAAACTTTTTAAAACGTAATCACGAATACAATACGTTAATAACTGCATTTTCGTGTATCCTGGTGCTCCTTTACGAACCGTGTTGGCGCAATAGTAGCAAAAATATTACTGCAAAGTGGATGACGTCGGCAACCGCCGCATTGTTCATGTGCATTTTAAATACTGGGTTAGTTCAGACCGTAAAACTATTGAGGGCAAAACACAGTCATTATTATGATATCACGCAAAAGGTACAATTTACCTGCACCATGTATTTTTAAGAATTTTTCATCGTTAGCTCGAACAGTAGCGCTTACAGTAAATCATTGATAAAATAAATTACACTACGAAACTGTTTTATGTGCCTACTTTGATGACTTATTGGCATGCGAATGCTATATGTCTCTTCCGGTTGGTTAAATAGATTTGAAAATTTTACTTATATTTCTTCCCGAAAATTTTCTTCCAGTTATAAATAAAAAATATGGTATGATTACAATTATTCTGTTTTGTTCTGTTTTAGTATCAAACTAGTATTCTGAACAAAAAAAATGATACAAAAAGTCCGTTAAATGAAAATAGATGAAAATGTAACCATAGATTATTTTAAACCATACATTTTTTTTTATCTGACTACAACGAGTATTAAATTGATGTATATAAACTTAAGGATGACCATGGTTGACTCACAAATTTACTTACTTTTTAAATCACTACGCCTATGTGGACGACCTTCGAGTTAATTGAGTACGCTTTTTAAACAATGGAATAGGTTAACCTTTAACAAACAGTGTCAGCGTACGCTCTTTGCGTGTGTTTTCACAGCTACAAGCCGTGAACTACGAGATTGTTTTCCGTTACACCCTAATTTACTTTATCGAACCAGAACCAAGTACATCATAAAAAATTCCACCTCAGTGTCGTGTGAACACGATAACAGTCCAAATTATACTACCAGTGACAAATGGATTCGCTTAAACATTAGTAGAACTTGAAATGTTGGTATTTGTGCTACCATTATAAAGCTGTCAATATGTAAACAGAATAATATAAATGAGTTCATGGTATATATCACTGACTTGTTCTGTTTTGAACCATGTTTGTTACTTTATAGTTTTTAAGACTTAAACTTTAAGCAATGATTTTTATCATACTAATACTAATTACTAATATTACAATATTAAAAGTGCAAATGTTTAGATGGTTTGATGTTTGTTAGAAGGTTGTTTGTCTCCAGAATGGCTGGATTTGGATCACGACGAAATTTGGCTACAGCTAGTTTGAAATAAATCACGAAATAAATACATGGAATAAGTAAAGGGGCTCAGATTCGGAAATTCGGTTATCGCTTATAAACTTCATACATAAATAATTTTACCACGACCTAAAATCGCATATAGAATCCGTGACATTTAACTTCTTGCTCATATTATAAATGCGAATGTTTGAATGGATGTTTGTTAGTAGGTATATCCAAAACGGCTGCATTGATCTTACTGAAATTTGACATACATGTAGAACATTGTCTGAAAGAAGACATAGACTAATTAAGTTTCCTTTTATTCCCGAGCGGATAGAGTTGCGGGCGACAACTAACTCTAAATTAAAACTCGTTGAAATTGGAAAACTAATCGCTTAATAGACATCGTATTATCCATAAAAATTCGACGAATAAACAATGTCACGTTTATTTTTCGCATTACTTACTTTTGAATATTTGAATAATATTATACAAATGTCTTTGGAACTTAATGTATAGTATAAAATTCGCAAAACCTTCAACATTTGTTCAACCTTGTTTACCAAGCGACATGTTATTCCATTTTCAATATCACAAATGCAAGTAAGAATATATCTGAAACGTGTAAAAGAAAAAGAAAACTTGTTTTATGTTGACAGTATCATAATTAGTATTTGTTCTATTTTCGAAAATAAATGTTGTAAAAAGATTGACAATATAATATTAAGTAACCAGTTCAAAGAATGCATTTTTGAAAGCTCCTAAATATATTGTCTACCATCCATATAATAGTATCATTTTTTGTTAACATTTCGCTATATTCTTTGACTAGCTATCGCCCGCGACTCGGTCCACACGCAATTATTAAAAAAAACTTAATCAGTAGCCGTGTTTAGCCGTTCCGGAGATACATTCAAACAAACATCCATCCATCCATTTAATCATTCGCATTTATAATATTAGTAAGATTTAAACAGGTAGTAGCTGAAGTACACTGGAACTATAACATGTTTAAATTATATTTTCGAATAAAGCCTACTCATATATTTTTTATCTATAATATTATATCTGAGTGAGGTTACTATGAAGAATTAATTCATTAGCAATACTTAAATTTTGATTTATTTATGCGATTTACAGATTAAAAATATTTCGTTACGATTCCTAAGTAATAGTATTTTTTTTCTTTACATTTTTTCATTTCTTATTTCGAATATGAAAGCTATGAATGAATGTTCATATTATAGTATACATAAGTTAGGTAAACTAAGTTATCGTGTATATAAAAACTAGTAAATATTTATTTATACTAGTTCCGTATTTTGCTTATGATTGTTTAGTTTTATAATCGTGTGTCTAATTACTTTTATACACACGACATCTTTAAAATTATAGGTTAGTGTGTTAAAAATATTCATGTATGTATATGTTAGAGGAAATGATAACGTGCTTTTATCATCAAGCGACGCCCACATTTATAATGCAGTATCATTTAAAATATTGTGAGAGCTTTTGTTGACGTTTGAGTTACGTAAAATGAAAATCATTTTAAAAAATCTTAAGTGGTTATAAGTATGTACAATAAGAATACATATAAGCAAATTCTATCAAATATAATTTGATGTTTTGGCTACTGCGGTCACAAGGTCGTATGCTAAGTTGTAAATATTGGTTGAGAAAAAAGAACCCACATTGGCTGTTGCCATGGAAACGTGCGTACTAACAGAATTATGCAAATGTCAAATGGATTAATTGTTTAAAACCGATTATGGAACGTTCATTGTCCTAAAGTAAAATACGAGTATAATACCGAAAAGTTTCCGTTTTCCAATGTAAATCGATTAAAAGTACTAAATCATGAATGTTCTGATGATAAATTGCCTCCATCTTTAAGAAATAAAACATACTTCTAATGGACTACTTAAAGACATATGGTAGGAACGTAGACACGTTATTTTAAGTTTTGTAAGAGTTAAGTCATCATCATCAGCTCACTATACGTCCCCCATATTGTCAAACAGTGGTCCAGTGCGGGTTGGTTGACTTCACACATATCTTTGAACTGAAGAATTAAGTAATTCATGACAAAAGTGATCACAATCATTATGTGTGGATCACTTATCATGTCAAGGAACAAAGTTAGGTCTGGAACTTGGTTAAAGTTTAAGTATTTCCCAAGTTACAAACAGCATCTATTCAGTTCATACCAAAAGATAATATTTATATACGAAGTAAATTTAATTAACTACTCCGTCGAGAATGTTAGAATAATAACGATGGTTAATTTAGAAAAACACCAGCTGTACCCACGACTTCGTTCGCGTCTGGGTAGCATTTTAATTATAATATTATATATTCCATTGTAATTTACAATAATATAAAAATAGGTTCCTCCTCCAATAATATCGTTGCTATCTAATAAGGGGTATTTGAAAACTCCTCGAAAACAGTTAGGACTAATGGCCCCAAGACAGTTAAACTAATCTTTTTTATATATCAGAAAAATTGTTATTATAATTGACCTACTTTCAAATATAATTGAAACAAAGTCACACCTCGCAGCGTTAGAATTTCAAATGTCCCTATCTCTTTATCAAGCGACGCCAAGCCACCTGTCAACATTCAAAACATTAGCGATAAGAGCTCTCTGCCTTTCAACCGGTATTCAATTCACTTCACTGTTCACGATCGTTAAACGTACTGGCCGTAAAATTTTATAAAGTAATGAATACTAAGGAGGCCAGATATTTTACTTAACGGTGGTTTGGTATTTTCTTATCTGTGTACATTGTGTCTTTATTTTATTATTTATTAAAGAGTTTTTTTTGAAACTAACCACAATCGAAAAACTTGTTTAAAACCATACTTATAATATTAAAGTACAAATCTCTATTTTACTAAAGAGAATCAGAGGATGAAAATGAAAACTCGTGAAAAAAATATACCATGTTGTCGAGAGTTACAAAGGAATCATATAATTGTTTTTTTTTTCAGCCAGAACACTTTGGTCACCTTCGCAGCTTATTGGAATCTACAACTTCAATTGTTTTTTTAGCACATTCATTTGTCTCGACGTTGTTCATATTTGCTACTTTCAAAACCGAACGAGCGCTCTTACAAATTGAATCGCGCCTGTAAGCTATCATTGCAATAATATGTAATTACTGAAAGTGCAAACAAAAGGTTCTCAATTTCACACGAGCGAAGTGTGATCAACCGTCAGAGGTCAACGCCTCTAAATAATCCACTAGACAAACATAAGCGTGTATTATGTTGAAATATTACACGAAC